ACTCGGATAAGCGACGTTTTGAGCGGAAAAACCTTATTAATTATTCATGAATACCCTCGCTGGGCTATACGGTAGGCTTTAATGCGCTTAGGAAAAGCGTTATGAGCCGTAAAATTATAAAAAAGCGAATGGAAGAAAATTTCTTTGGGTAACCTTCTTGGTAAGAAACAAAGAAAAAAATTTCGAAGAAAAAAAAATATCGCTTGGAATATTTTGTGCATCTGAGAATTTTATCTTAATGCGTACCTTTTTTGTTTTGTTTATTCTTGGAGTCTTATATGAAACATTAAGTTATTTATTTATACTATTTTATTTTCGTAATTATTTAAATTAGAATTTCCTTTGTTAGCGATGAGAAGTAGATACGTGTTGGTAGGGTTTGCTATCTGAAAATAAATATGTATAAAGTTAATAAAAAAAGGCATAGTAATAAACTAATTGTTGTGTTTATAAGCCAATTTTGATACTAATATAAATAAAATTATTATTATTCTATTTTGTAAATCTGTGACAGAACTCAATGAAAGATTTTTGAAAATCAGTTTAATAGATGCTATGACGGTACTTCATTTTACAGTTATTTTAGTCTATACGTCATGAGACAGAAGAATATTGGGGATGCATATATTTCAAGAGATTATCCAAAATCTTACCTTAATGTTTTAAAATATTTATATCTTCAACGGCATAATAGTAATAATGAACCATGTTTGCCGGAATTCTGTAATATGTTAAAATGTATTATTATTTAACAATCAATGATATTTAAATTGTAACCAGTCTTTGATATTACACCTAAAATGATGTTTTAGTCTTTTTAAGTGATCTCTTGTGACGTATACACAAATATTAAAAAAAAAATTCTTTGACTTCATTACCCTAAGCATATTACTTCTTCTTTTGTGGATTCTTTTTCATTTCCTGCTTATTAGTTTATTCTCGCCCCCTATATCTATGCATATAAATAAAAATGAAGTGTCTGTTTGCAATTTGAAATTAACAGCTTTTCACTAAATGCATTTAAAAGTATATACGGTACTTATATGAAAAAATCAATTTTTAAAACTTTTGTCTGTCTGTCTGTTTATTACGACTAATCCCTGAAACGGCTGTACCCATTTTGACGGAATTTTCATTTGCAGATAGCTAATTTTATGAGTAACTTAGGTTATTTTTATCTTAGAAAAAAAAATTAGGGTTCCGAGAAAATGAAATTAAAACCAATGAAATAGTGAGCAATATCCGATTCAAATAGGGATCATCTATACATATAAATAAAAATGAAGTGTCTGTAATTTGAAATTAACAGCTTTTTACTAAATGCATTTAAAAGTATATACAGCACTTATATGAAAAAATCAATTTTTAAAATTTTTGTCTGCCTGTCTGTCGATCTGTCTGTTTGTTTGTTTCCGCTAATCTCTGAAACGGCTGGACCAATTTTGACGGAACTTTCACTGGCAAATAACTAATGTTATATGGAGTACCTTAAGCTACTTTTAATTTAGAAAAAAAAAAAATTAGAATTCCGAAAAAATAAAATTAAAACCAATGAAATAGTGAGCAATATTCAATTCAAATAGGGATTATTTATTTCAAATAAGGATTATTTCATTTCGCGAGCCTTCTGTATCAACGATTTCTAGCAGTTATATCAATCTTTTTTGTTTGATTAGGTTGCTGCCACTCGCGACATTTCCCGTTCATGTACTTTGATCCTAATGATTTTACAGTCCTCACTTCATTGACATGCAAAGGTCATGCGTCCCTTTCATCAACGAAAAACAAAGAAAAAGAAATAAAACAAAAAGAATAATAGATTCACAAAGTAGAATGGTATTATACTTATAGAATAGGTATTTCATTACTTAGAATACATAATTATTAAGTTTTCGTAAACTCTGCTTATTGAATGAACACTTTTTTGTTAAATTCCACGTGGACAAATTCGTAGTTAACAGCTATTTAACATAAAATAAATGCATCAGAAATTCATATTAACGTATTATACATCCAGATACAAATTATTTACACTATTTTAAGCGTTTATTACGCAACGTTTGTAACAATGTGTTACTTTTGCTGAGCAGGTAGGCGTATTCAAAATCGACCCACGAGAGAGTTACGGGGCTAAATAAATACAAAAAATAAAAAAATAAAAAAAAATTCAGCTATTATATTTACAGACATAAAATTTACAAACATTTTTTTTTGTTCAGCTGAGATATGCAAAAAAGCTTTTTTTAAATTTACAATTCACGTAAAATTAACTCATTAAAAACTTCTTTGTCCTTCAGTCTGTATTGCTTAATTTTTCAATTCACCCGTGTGAATAACGGGTACACCGGCTTGTATATTTATATATCTACACTGTTAAAATTCGTAAGCAAACAAACGTATCTATGCAACTATCTATGTATGGGACCCTATCTTCTCACGAACCACACGACGCAGAAACTCCCCGAAGGTATCAAAATACCGGGAATGATGCGAGAAATCCGTTTTGACCATTTATATTCCGAAATTCAATTTAGTTAAAAATATATTAATGAAAACCCTTAAAACGCATAATTAGTACCATTTTTCACCGCCAGGGGCCAAGTTCAAAATCTCGGAATATTTTTTTTAGACGTATTTAAAGCGCGATCTAATTTTTTTCATGAGACTCAGACAAAAAATAATCACAGAATCGGAAAGATCATTTACTTCGCCACGATACGGTATAATTTATTTTATAAAAAAATTATTTTTTCCTATTTTTACGACTTTTATTAAAATGAGTCAAAATCGATACACTTTTATTAAAATGATTTCTAAATCTTTCCGCTTGCATTTTCATTCGTGCTGATGAAAAGAAAAATTACACTAAAAAAATTATGCTTTTCTCTTTTAGAATCAGTCATTTAAAAAATTATGTCAAAAACTTTTTTTTTTGATTTTTCAAAAAATACTCAAATGTTTATTTAAATACTTAATAACTTCTTTATTTGTAAAAAATAATCTCACGAAACATTTTCTCCGTGTGTAGAACAATATTATATATAATCTGTACAAAGATTGATAAAATATCTTAAAAATTACAGTTTTTTAAAAGAAAATTGTGGTTTTTCGTTTTTTTCCCTCTTTGCGGAAAAAACTTAAGCATTATTTTTGTTACATTTTTTGTTCGCAATCTATATATGAAGTTTGAAGGCATTAACTTAAAAGGAAGTCCGAAAACAAATTAAAACTTTAAAAAAATCAATTTTACAATAGCTCTGAGTTAGGCGGGGAAAACCTGTTTGGCACCAGAAAACTCTTATTCCACTCAGCCCTCTACGTTTGATGAAAGCTTACACTAGAAAAGTATTGAAAATCACCAGATTTGGTAAATTAAATGTCAAAACTGTTTTTTTCGATTTTTCAAAAATACTCAAATGTTTATTTAAATACTTAATAACTTCTTTATTTATAAAAATCATCTCATGAAACTTTTTTCCGTGTGTAGAACGATATTATCCGTATTCTGTACAAAGATTGAAAAAAATTACTTAAAAATTACGGGTTTTTTTTTAAAAAAAAATTTGTTTTTCGTTTTTTCTCCTTTTTGCGAGAAATATTTAAGAATTATTTTTGTTACATTTTTTGTTTAAAAATTACTTGAAAGTGTTTTTTTAACATCTTCATTTATAAAAATAATTGTATGAAAATTTTTTCCCGTGTATCGAACACTTCAAAAAATGCTCACAATTTTAATTCAACATTTAATACAGTTTTTCGTTTTTTTCTCTCTTTGCAAGAAATATTTTAGCATTATTTTTGTTTCATTTTTTGTTTAAAAATTACCGTTGTTTGCAATTAAACGGGTAACGGGGTTAACTTTCCGCCCGTTACGTTTGGTGAAAGGTTACACTAGAAAAAGGTGCGCCTATTAATATTGAAAATTACCAGATTTGGCGAAATTAAATATCAAAAACTTTTTTTTTTTACGATTTTTAAAAAATACTCAAAATTTTATTTAAATACTTAATAGCTTCTTTATATATAAAAATAATTCAACGAAACTTTTTTTCCGTGTATCGAATGATATTATCCGAATCTGTAGAAATATTGAAAATAATACTTAAAAATTACGAGTTTTTTAAAAAAATTGTGTTCTTCGTTTTTTTTCCCTTTTTGCTTGAAAAATTTAAGAATATATTTGTTACGTTTCTGTTTAAAAATTACTGTTGTTTGCAATCGATATATGAAGTTTGAAGGCATTAACTTAAAAATGAATCCAGAAAAAAGAAATTAATTCTTCTTTTATTTTGAAAGTCTTTTCACTTCTTTTTCCCGACGATTTGACGGCGCGATTGTTTAACGCGATTCATTACTTTTTGTTCGACCCGGGTTACAATTTTGTAATTATAAGAATGTCTACTGTTTTCAACATACAACTATTTTTAAAAAGGTAGAGTGAGTGAGTGAGTGAATATTAATCTCCTACTGTTCACTTACTCGGCAGCTCTGATAGCGAGAAGGGAAAAGGGAATTTCCTTGACAACATGTTCTGCATTTAAAAATTTTCGTTCAACGCCGGGGGAAATAAACCTGTCTGACAAAGAAAAGAAGCGAAAAAATTTCTAAACAGGGCATTTTAAATTATAAATTCGGTAAAGGCCCGAGCAATGTCGGGCCAATGGAGGAGGGGGGACGGAAGTCATTTTGAAAAAGTGTATTAGAAGTGCAGATTTTGTGAAGGAAAGGAAAATGTATAAAAGTGGAGAAAACATGTGCAACGCCGGGCCAGGCAGCTAGTATATATATATATATATCTTGTTCAAATTTTCAATCTTTAATAAAATACTTTCTATTCATCCATTCAAGTTCAAATACATTTTTGTAAACTTGTAGTGGATGACACTTGATGTTACTGCAGTTTTTCAAATATTAATTCATTATTTAACTTGGATTATTGAATAAATGGTAACAAAAATAATAGTCCAATAACATATATAGAAATGAAAATCATACGTTGTGTTCCTGAAGCGCAATGGATTGCGTGTTGGACTTCTAATTCAAAGGTCGTGTGTTTAAACCCCACCTGGGATTGCCTAATTTCTGAGAATGTGATTTCTTTTTTACTATACTATTTTATTAGAATAATTAAATTTAATTAATGAATAAATAGTAACAAACACAATAAAAAATAGTCCAACACACTACATAGAAAGGAAAATGGAAAATTACAAGTAAAATCGCTTTCTATTTTCTCACTTAATTGTGTGATTCTGTCATATATTAATTGTAATTATTTAATAAAAAGTAACTAAAATAACATTTTTCTTTGTTGACCTAAGTAGGAATTGGCTTATTTTTTACATTACTTGTTATATGTATATTTAGAGTAAAAAATCTTTTACAAATTATTAATACCTTATTCTTTCGTTTTTTATATTTTCGGGTTTTTAGTAATTACTTAAGTAAAATACGAATTTTTTCATAAAGAGCCATTTAAAAGTTTTATGGTTAAATACTTAACTAGAATTAAATGCCTTAAAATTTCATAAGATGCGTGATTTTTGTTAGTTTGCTAGGAAAAAACTTGTTGCTTAAAATTATATATTATAATTTATTAATACTTTATTCTGCTTGGTTTTTTTTCCATTTTTGAACTATTTTTTTTTCGCAAAAACAGGTGCTTTCTTAAATAACTTTTACACATTTTATAGTTAATTACTTATAATTAATCTAAAAAAGAATCTGGAATTAAATGTCAAAGTTTCCTAGATTATGTAATTTGTATTGGGTTGCTTAGAAAAGATTTTTAGCCAAAAAATTTGGTTAAAGTTAGAAAATAATGTGGGTTTAGTTAAGTTTTTCACGGAAGTTAATTTGACCAAACACATAATATTGTACAATCAGCAAATAATTTAAGTTGTATTTTTTTAAATATAGATTTTTTTTTTGCATCATACCTATGTATCCATCATACCCCCATCATATCATTTTTCCATGTATTGTAATACAAGGCTTTCCATCAAATCTGTCATTAAGTTCAAATACTATCTATATAATCAATTTATCAATAACATATTTCCTAAAGTTATGCAGAGTAAAATAATGATTATAATACTAGAATTAGTAGGAAATTTGTAGAGTTTAATTTCCAAAGGTAATTTAAAATTCTATTGTTAAAAATTTGCTAAATCAATTACAAATCACAGCTAAAATATTTCATTACATTGTATTTTCAAAGAAAAAAGCAAATTTTAAAACTATATTTGACTTTTATTTTATATTTTGAAATAGAAATTCTCACTTTTTATCTATGAAATACTACGCATTCGTAACAAATTATTGACAATGTTAAAATATAATTCCCATATTTTACATTATTGAGAGATTTAAAAAAGAATTCAGCGAATTTCTGTGTCCCCAAAATCATTAAGATTGAGAAATAATATAGAAGGTCAAACATATGTGAACTTTAACATTACTCACAGAAATACAATACTAATTATAATGTATTCTTTTGCTGTATGTATAACCTTTCATATAATTGCTTCTCATACCCTTTCAGGACCGACGAAAGGAGAAATTTTCCCAGTTTCGTACGTTCCGAGAGTATACGCACGCCCGGGACCGGACGAATTCCCGTGCAGAGCCTAATTTCATTTAAAAACTCATATAAAACCCTTAAAGTAATCAGCTAAAATTTACAATTTACTATCATTGATAATATCTGAGTATACAGTTTAAAAATTTTTGCTGCATTTAAAAAATTAATTGCGAATTTTAAAGAAAATGTCTCATTTTAATAAAAAAAGTACTCTTTTCGCAATGTTGATTAATATAAATTAGACATAAAACTTACAAAACACTATTTGGCAAATCTCAAATCATGCATTACTCTTACATGAACTTTTTATCGTTTTTTTTATTTTTAAATTAATCATATTTCTTATAGCTTTTTAATATCTCATAAGTATTATGTTTTCTGTTCTTAGGGTTGTGGCAACTCTGGTTGCCATATCAACCAGAAAGAATGGTTTGTTCTTGTTGAATTAAAAATGTGTCAGCGAGAACAAACAATTATTTTTCGTTAAAAATGAGTCATCACCTTTGAACTGTGAAGATCTGCTTTTTAAATGTCTTTGAGTATTAAAATTATTATTGTAAATACGAACAATAAATAAAATAAATACTGAAACTATTATTATGAATCGCTGATTGCCAATGAACTAATAACCTTTCCATCCAGAATATAAACAGAAATCCAGAGAGCAATAATGCAGTTGTTTACATTCATAAATATCCCGGATCTAGTTTTAAAAAAAAAAATTCGGAATCGAAAGCACAATATTGAAGTTGAAAATTTTGTGAAACATTATTTGAAACAAGTAATAATAATAATAATAAAAGTCAGTTCCTACTTAGATCAACAAAGAAAATTTTTGTTTTAGCTACTTTTTATTAAATAGTTACAATTAATATAATTAAGTTTATTCATATGACAGAATCACAACATTAAGTGGTAATTAATTTTTATTAATTATCATTAAAGTATCGTATTGTCATCTAAAACAATCGTGTCTATAAAATTTCAGTTCAACCGAATGCTTTAAAACGTGAGAAAAAAACCTTTTCAAGTGTTGACGCAAGTCGCCGAAAGCGTCTCTAAGTCGCCAAAAATGATGCCAACGTGGCTGTATTTGTAATTTTTTGATTAATTAGTTCTAATCAATTAATTTTTATTAATTATAATTAAATTATTGTATTGTCATCCAAAATAATCATGTATATAAAATTTCTGCTCAATTGAGCGCTTTAAAATGCATTTTATTAACAATTGAAAAGTCCACCAAGATAAATAAATAAATAAATATAGAGTGTGAGCTAATAGTAGGAATCGAAAAAATGGACATGAATCGCCATCTAGTGCCTTGTAAAAATTAATATGAAAACGTTCATAAAACAGATCACACTGGTGTGATTATAGGCCTCAGAGCAGGGAAAGCATAATCACATGTATGATACCATGGACCCTGGAGGGAGAAACGCGTGATCACATAAGTCTGATCATGGTCCTGAACAGGTTAAATATACCAAAAAACTAGATAGAAATAAATAACATTGTAAAATATGACAATATAACTATATCTGATTTAATGGTTAAAACGTTGTATTCTTAAAACCAAGCAGAACTTTTTATCATTGTGAGAGTTAGTAGTAATCAAAATTGAATAACATATTAAATAAAATAACATATAAAAATCATTACAAAAGTACAACTATACAAAACCCAAAAGAATGGCCGTAAAAGTACTTGAGAATGAGAACACTAGATAAGAAAAACTTATTGAGATTTGAACGAAAAATATTGAGAAGAATTTTTGGAGCAGTGGAGCAAAATGGGGGTCTGGAGGATACCTTACAATTTTGAATTACAAAGGAAATACAGAAAACCAAATTTAATTAAAGTAATTAATGCTTATTGTTCACTACTAAAATGGCTTCGTCATATATTTAGGCACGATGACAACAACCCATTTAAAAAATAACACTCTTGAAACCAGAAGACAAGAGAAGAGGCAAACTCTGGAAATATGTTTTTTTTTCAATATCCTTTAACATCCAATATTCTATTTCAATCCCCTCAATTTCGTGTTAAGGTATCCGACTACGTTCGGAACCGTGATTTTGCAAAAGCGTGTAAATGGATAATATTTATGATATTTAGTGTCACTTAGATTAGAATACATGTATAAAATTGTTTTAAGGACATTATGACAAAAAATATTTAAATACAATTTTTTGGCAAAATTAACTTAGAATAACTTTTTTTCCAAATGTTCTCCTTTTGTAAAAAATGCTTCTATTGTATTAATATTTTGCCTGTATTCAGCTCAGGCCTCTGTACAGAGGCTCAACTCGAATTTTTGAAACGCATAACTTGGAAGTCATTTTATCCATGTTTTATGAAAACAGAAGGGAGAAATTCTAAGAAAATACGCCGATAATTATTTCAAATGATTGTAACTCTGAAAATAATCTGAATTTTTCAAAAATCATAGTTGAGCCTCTGTACAGTGGTCTGAGCTATATACAGGCAAAATATTAATACAATAGAAGCATTTTTTACAAAAGGAGAACATTTAGAAAAAAGGTTATTCTAAGTTAATTTTTTGCCAAAATATCGTATTTAGATAATTATTTTTTGTCATAATGTCCTTAAAACAATTTTATACATGTATTCTAATCTAAGTGACACTAAATATCATGAAAATTATACATTTATGCACTTTTTTAAAATCATGGTTCCGAACGTAGTCGGGTACCTTAAACGTTTTTCACTGTATTTAGATACCCTGAGTTTTTAAAATAGTATGTTTTTATAGCTACAAAACAGAAATATTTATCAAACCATTTGGGAAAACGATCTAAATAAAAATTATTACTTTTTTCGAGTAATGTACAAAAACTTTTATTGCACAGATACCAAAAATAATACGCCTTACGACTGCAATCCAACATCCAGTTATAAACCCTCCCACTAATAAATAATCCCAGTGAACGCCACCATGGCTAAAAGATGAATTATGAATGGCTGTTCCACTGGAATGCTTGACTTTTTTCATTTCAGAATCACGACTGCATTTTCATATTCCCCTGAAAGACGCGGTGGTGGCAAAAAAAATAAGATCCATAAACCCATTTTTCTACTCCTAAATAATACAAGAAATAAAACACCATAACTCAAATCCTTCTTTGGAGAGGGAAGATTCTTTTTACGTCTTTTTCGTTCATTTCTTTCCCTTCTTCAACTTTTTAATGCTAGGATGTTACAAAGGATCTCCAACAAGAGGAAATAAACAAACAAAGAAAAAAAAAAAATATCTATGTGGAACGCTTCTGTGTTTGTAGCACAAGTTTCATAGCTCCAGAAACTGCAAGAAAGAGTGACGAAAAAGAAGAAAAAAATATTCTCGAAGTTCTAGCTTCTGTCCCGGGGACATTAATGCTCTTAGACAGAGTTTCGATGAAAAATGAGGGTTCTTTACTCTTGTCCGGATGGATCCTAGCTTTCATCGTATCCTTTTTTTTCTACG